AGGTGTAAAAACACATAAAAAGGACAAATTCAACATGTTTGTTTCAGGGTCAAAGGTCACGACAAATGGGCTCCTGCGGGAGAAAAGCGGCCGCTGACAGATTTCAAACCACAAACTGAAATATGAAGGCATTAATATTTCAAAAACACTGATTAAAGATATTGATGGGGGAAGTTGGTCATGTGACAGAAACAGCGAAGCAGCAGCATTAACTGAAGCAGAGGAACATCAGACTCCCTCCACAAGCCAAAACATCTGGGCAAACACCAAACCAGCCTTAATATTTACTAAAGGTCGTTTAAAGCAGATGCATCCAGGCTCCTATTGCAGCTCTTGGCGTTCAGCCAATCAGCACAAATGGGGTAAAAATGGCGCTCCTGGATTGGCTGCTTTGCAAATGCCAGCCAATCAGTGTCAAGTATCACAGTCGGTACCCATGCTGGGTTTTCTGATGAACATCTTACATAGAAAACCTATAGTGAAAAGGCAGTAACTTGGGGTTACATTCTGCAGAAAATGACTGTAATAATGTTCAATATCAGTTATTGGCCTGAATGTTCATATTGGTGGTGTTTTGTGAAGTTTTCCAGGGTGTTCTATATTCCCAAAAGATCGATTTACATGAATAATTAGATTTAAAAGCCATGAACTGTGAATAACTCTCCTCTAAACTGCTCAGTGTTTTGTGTTCCTGGCTTAACTGCTCTGCAGAGGGTGAAATGAGTTTCTCTGCAGTCCAAGTCTTCATCCAAGGAGAGCTAAAGGTCAGAGCTTTGCAGTTTCCACTGTTTGGTTTTCACACTGAACAACATTTAAACTGCATTTCAGAACCATCTGGGCAGCTTAACGTGACCCAGTTCGGATTAGACTAGACTGAGTGTTTCAGACCTTTAATTAAAGGTGACGTAAATATGTGAAATAGCCCTTTATTCGCTTCGGCGCCGGATCTGAGAAACTTTACGCCCCAGCTCGGAGCTCCTACCTCCCATTGGAAGAGTTTCCTGCGGTTCTGCCGTCTTGTTCGGCCTCGAAGACGAGCCGGCCACGGTTCGGGAGCCGAAATCCACTTTCTCACAGGAGCACATCAACATTCTCAGAGGAGAAACGGAGCAGGAGGAGCAGCAGCGGGAGGCGCAGGAGGAGGAGGCATCTACCGGCCGCAGCTAACGGCTCCTAGCCGGCTAACGGCTGCTGCCCGCGGACCCCAGAGGCCCGAGACCGATCACCAGCAGGGTTCAGCCTCCAGCAGACACAGCACCGTCCCAACGCCTCCCATCTCCATCCTGTCAGAGTCACTTTCACCAGGTGAATGTGAGGTTAAATATCGAAGTGAGCTTGGCAGGAGAGCCGAACCGCCGCGGATTAAAGAGCCGAACAAAAGCGGTTTTTGTCGGAAAGTGAAAAAGAACGAAGTGAGTTAACCGGCAGACTGGGTCAAAAGACAGGGGAGGAACCGGACCTGGCCGGGGACACACTGTGTGACCGGGATGCTTCAGACATCACTACATCCATACACTTGTGTTTTCTGCTGGACTTTTTAACATGCCAGAGATAAACACTCTAAACGCCTCCTTTAAATGGCGATAATGTTTACGTCCAACACGACAAACCCCCCCGCTGAAAACTTTTTGGTACATTCCGGGAAAAATAACTGTACCCAAAGATGTGGCGAGAGGAAGGAGTATTACACCGCGCAGAGATCAGCCAGCGGGTCCAAATAAGCCTTTAACTTTAGTTTCAATAAACATCCATTCAGAGACACTTTTATTCATAAAATGCACTTCGCCTAAATAACGGGGTTTTCTACGTCCACCAGAAAATCACAATGACAGATTCAGATACGAAACGGAAAGCAGCAAAAAGTCCCACAACTTTCTGAACTTTAAAATAATTTAAAGGGAGGAAAATAAAATAAAATAAAATAAATAAATAATACACAGTGTCAAAGCGACATCTGGTGGCCGATCAGTGTCTGTGCATCTATTTTATAACCTGAACTCAGTTTTCCTGTTGTTTGGTGAAGACATACTCAGAACAAACTCTCTGAAATGATTGATAAGAAAGGGGTCGATATTTAGGATTGGGTGTGTAAAACACACTGAAGTCCCACCTGCTTTCTGTAGCTGCATCACTTCATCTGATCCCACAGAGTCCCAGCAGAAGGAGATCAGATGTCTTCAGCAGAAACAGCCGGAGGAGATGGGAGGTCACCTTGACTGCAGCTGAAAAGGAAAACAACACGAAGAAGGAGGAAAACATGCTGCAAACATGTAATGATCTGTGTGAAGAGCTTTCCATCAGCGTGTGTTATTATCTTCGATCTCTGCAGAGCTTCAGAAAAAGTAGTTTGCTTCATTTACTCAAACTCTTTTCACCATGTTTGCAGATCAGACTGTTTGGATGGACGGAGGTCAGAGCCCCAGATTCAGGAGCAGCTGCGTTGTTTGCTTCGTCCCTCATTATGAAAAAACAAAGAAATTTACTTTTATACATGTTCGGTTTCAGAGCAAACATTTTTAAATTGTTTAAGTTGGAATGTATTTATCAACATCAAAGTCTTCTGGTAAATGTCATTAGAAAACAAAATAAATCTGCAGGATGTTTTCCATAATAACTGACTCAGTGTCTTTTAAGCTTTAAAAAGAAAGTTTTGTGCACTGCAGCGTTTTGTCACTTGGTGAACCACGCTGAACTGAAATAATAAATATTCTCAGTCACAAAGATGAAAACTATAAAGGAACTTATTAAAATTCAAAGATAGAAGCCAATCAACATAGTGAGAAAGCTTTCGGTTTGCACCACGTTAACAGTGCAGGTGATAATTATTTTAGATGAATACATTTTTCTATCCAGCAATATTATAAAGATTGCATGATGTGATGATTGCATATGAAAATACATCATGTGAATCGATGATTATGATGATGGCTGTAGACACAATGTAATGTTTGGTGACTGTTTTTATGACTGTGTGTGTTATACAAATAAACTTGTTTGGTTGAAAAACTCACCTTGTGAATTATTCAATAATTTTACAAAACAGCTCTGCAGTAAACTTCTTGTCACTGTTACCTGATTTTTCAGTCCCAGAAGCAGAAGAAAAATGCCTTTATTCTCATATTTATTACAATATTTTATGGGTCTTATATCTTTTATGACTATATCAACTGTTTCAAACACAAAACTCCCAAGAGTTTTGACAGAGTTTCATTGTTCTGCATTAAAACCCAGAGTAGAGGAAATGTTGTCCCTAATTTCCTCTAATCTGGGGTCGAACCCCGACTCTCCATCGCAGCAGTTCACGGCTCTAAACCATGCAGTCGCGGCATAAAGAATAAAAGAGCATTTTTACCTTCCCGTTTCAGAGCATCACAGTGACTGCAGTTTCCAGACGTCCCATGCTGCGTCCCTCAGCCTCCGGTTTGTCGCCTCCTGCAGTGGTCAGCTCACATGCTGCAGCCTGTGCAGCGAACAGCTTGTGTCCGGCTGGCTGGCAGACGCTCAGCCTGCAGCAGCAGAACCGACGGCTGGAAACTCGATCTGAGCTAAAAATAAAAGAAACGCCAGCAGCAGCAGCAGAGAGAGAGAGAGAGGAGCAGGCTCTCCCTGTTCTGGTCAGGGTACCGATGCATGCAGGGTTTATCAGATGTCAACATTTCCTTGAAACCCCCCTCCCCAGCTGCTTCGCTGTTTATGCTGCTGCTCTGTCTTGTTGTTGTTCTTGTTTAAGGTCGAAGGGACAGGGACACTTCGCTGCAGCAAAACAAACACCCAGATGACCACATGATGTTCAATCTGACCCGGCGGGGTCAGGGGTCACTCATCACGTCAGCGGCCGGGCCGGGCCGGGCCGTGGCCGGCCCATCTGGAGCCTGGACTCCAGATGGACCGGGCTGAGCCTGGTACCAGCTCACACAGATTCACTCAGATCTGTGGATTATTAAATGTAAAAATAATTAAAAATGAAGCTTTTTGTATAGAGGAGATCTGATGAGCACAATTTGAAGAAACATTTTTAATTTCCTTCCGGAAGTTGGAGATCCAGCTTCATTTGATCCACTTCTACCTTCAGTGTGCAGCACATCGCTGCTCCCTCTGCAGACTGGATGGTGAAACCTGCTTTGCTGCACTTTCTGTTTGCAAGTCAACAATATCTGAAGCCATAAATCATGACGTCTTTCAGCAGAGAGTTGAGTTCTGCTTCTATCAGACAAACAGCTGGGAAACCTTTCCACATTTCATCCCAGTCATGAATGTTTCAGATGTTTTTGTGGTGAAAAGATGTGAGAAACGACAGCTTTGAGTTGCCCAGACTGAAAACAGCGCCTCCTACAGTCACAGCGATCAGATGCCTGTTGACAAAAACTGCTTCAGTTTTCAGTAAATGTTATTTTTATGACTTTTATTATGAAAAGCAGAAAATTTGTTTCTGACATCAAACAAAAAAAAGTTTGTATTTCAGAACGAAAATCAAATCAATAATTTTTCTTTATTTTCTGATGAAAACACCAAAGATTAAAATCTGTAAAAACACAAAATAAATGAAACCAAACTGCTGACAGGAGAGTGTTTGTCCTGCTGGGACGTCCCTGATCCAAACACTGAATCCCGTCCAGCCTGAGCCATGACCTCTGACCTGCAGGACGTGATCTGTATTTACAGACAACATGACCCCTCCTGCTGCACAGGGCAATATTTACTTTCACCTCAGTGTTTTCTTGCTCTTCACATATTTGTTTAACAAAACACCGTGAGGTCATTTTACACGAAGGACGTCAGAAAAGAAGAAGAAACAGATTTTAAGCTCAAAAGATCTTTTTCCTGAAGGAAAGCCTCCAAAGCGTCTCTGTGTAGCTCAGCGTGGACGGTCACATTGCCACGGCGGTCATCTCATCATCTCAGGTTTCTGCTGCCTCCCAACACGCCCGGCGCGGATTCTCACTCTAAATTTAGCCGCCTTAAAGTCAGACGAGACAGCACAGGGACAGCTTACGTAAAACCTCAGAGGCTCTGAATGTCTGATGATTCATTTCTGAAGTTCTGATGGATTAGTGTGGAGCGACCTGCAGGAGGAGCATGGTTCCGGTCCGGAGTCCAGAGTAACTCTGCTCTGCAGGAACTTTCCTGGATCTGGGAATGTCTGGCATTTTCTTTCTGCAGCTGTCTGAATATTTCCCCTGCAGAACGATGAGCTGCTGGACGTTTTTAGTGGCCTTCAGCCTGCTTGGTGAGTCCAGCATGAAAATGCAGTGAGCTTACAGCCAGAACCAACCAGAAGGGACTCGAATCGGGTTCATGCTGGTTGAAGTAGCTCAAAGAACCACAAAATGAGAAATGACTGAAACCAAGTCAGCTTAAAACCAAAGGAAATAATAAAAAAACATTTATATTCAGTTCAGTTCAAAACTCCTGCAGGTGAATCAGTGAAATGTTTTTGTGATTCAGATCCTCCAAGTACCTTCAAGTAGTCGAGTGCAGTAGCAGTCAGTCTTGCAGCGTTTCTGAAGAGGCCTCTGACTGAAGACTGGTATTAACAATCTCATGAATATCATGACATGCTAACAGCTCAATATCTGATATTTGACAGTAACAAGTCCTGGATGACATCATCAGTTGCTAGCTAGCTGTGCTAATCCGCCTCCTTTGCTTTTGCTGCTGCTCTTTAAATCTGTCAGGCTGTTTGGTTGAACTTTGAACTCTTTCCTTCTCCCCTCTGCATCCATGAAGCCTCTGGGACTTGGGGTCAAAGTTCAGGTGTCCTTTGAGCTTCTGAGATGCTAATCACCTGCTCTGTTGGAAAAACAATATTCTGTTACACAATATAGCAACTGGAAACATCCCAGCTGCCCAGCATCCAGAGCCAGAGGGAGAAACTGTCCAAATGGAAACGATGCGTCCAGAGAGATGATGAACTAAAGAACAGAAGAAGAAGAATCAGAATCAACAGAAACATCTGCAGCTCAAATTGTTACTTTAAAACTTAAATCCTGATTGGGTCTCAGATCAGAATCCATGTCTGAATTCCTGGACGGCAACAAAAAAGCACCAAAATCATTGAATTGATGAAGACAAAGTTCCTCAGAGGAAGAGATTTCCATATTTCTTCCTTCAAAGATGAAAAGCACAAAACATTTCTGGTTTCATTTCTTAACATCTGATCCCAGACTGATCGATAATGTTTGTGTCTACTGGTCGGCTCTCCGCTGCAGTGCCCTGGAGCCATGCAGGCTGTGCGGAGGTGGACTCCATGACCGAAGCCGTGGCGGGAGAAGGATTCCTGCTCGGCTGCATTTCCTGTAAGAAAAGAGAGGAAGTGTCGGCCCGAGCCACGGTGGACTGGCACTTCAAACGGCCCGAGGACCACGAGTTTACACCTGTGAGTCCCAACTATCAGGAAATCAGAAACTGCTTTCAAATAATAATGAAAAATCAAAGAAACAAAATGAAGGTCATGAGCAGCCTGTGTGTCTGGGAGGAGGTGACAGAAGGGCCTGATCAGCCAATCAGAGCAGAGACAACATGATTATATGTATCTTTGTCTTTTTTTAGCCATAATATTATTTGTCAAAACAAATCATTCAACAGACAAAACAGCAACTTTGAATTGAAACTTTATCAGATTATTTTATTATTTCACAACCATTAAACATTTTTTACCTAAAAGGGAATTAAAACGCTCCAGAGATTAATGTGATACTGTTTAAACCTCAATAAAATATAGTTTATTTTATCAGTTATATAATTTAAAATGAGGTAAATTACACTTGAGTTACTTTCATTTATCCTCATTTCCATGGCTTGTCTGGTGAGTGGGAGTGTTTCTGGTAATGAGTGGGTCAGGGGGTTCTGAGACATTTTAACAGCAAAACATTTTCAATTAATAATCCAGTGGCTCCATCAGCTGATTCATCCCTACGTTGTCGTCCTTCCACCAGATCTTCCACTATAAACACCCCAACGCAAACGTGCTCCATGAAGACTTCAGTGACCGGCTGCAGTGGCAGGGAACGCTGAACGACGACGTCCAGATCGGCGCCGTTTTCATCCAGAACGTCACCTTCAACGACAGCGGGACGTACCGCTGCACCTTCCGCCGCACCCTCTTCCTGCCGCTGCAGCCCGAGAACGTGGTGGTGGAGAAGGAGGTGGAGCTCACCGTGGTGGCCACAGGTGAGCAGGCTCTGGGGGGGGGCGGGCCTGTCCAGCATTCTGACGCGTGATTGGCTGGTTTCCTGCAGCCAACCGGGAGCTGACGGCGGTGATCTCTGAGATCGTGATGTACGTCCTGATCGTGGTTCTGCAGCTGTGGCTCATCCTGGTCATGGTCTACTGCTACAAGAAGATCTGGGACGAACACGAAGCGCGAGAGGCGAAGAAAGCGCTGGAAGCGGAGGGATCGTGAGTCTCCACTTCCTGTTTCTCTGTTTCCCGCCTGCTGATTCTCACACCTCTCTTCTGATGTTTCCAGACTGCTGGAGTCCAAGGATCACTGTGACGGCGTGGAGGCGGAGTAACGCCAGGGAGCGTTAGCACGCTCAGCTGGAGCTGCAGCAAGGAACGCTCATAAAAATATGTTTGTGAGGATGATTGACAGCGCTAAGCCCCGCCTCCTGGCTCTGACTGGTTGTTTTGGGGAGCAGAGCATCTTTTCAGACAGCAGATGGATCTTTTCACAGATTGTTTCTCTCACAACAAAATGTAATGGTAACAGGTTTGATAAATATGTAAAAACATATTTTTCATAAATGTTACTCATATCAGTTTTAAGAAGTGGATCAACATCCAGAGAGACGGATGACAGATTTACCTCAGGAGTTCATCATCTCATCTGAACTGATGTGAAAACTTGTGCCGATATTAATATCCGATATGACTACAGATAACCGATATTTATCGATATTGTATGTTAGATTTATTTCCAGGTGTCTCACTGCATGTCTTCCTGTCTCTTCTCTGTTGGACTTTGATTTTATTTTGATCATTTTCTTCCATCTTGAGTTTATTTAATTGTTCCTGATCTGTTTTGATTTCAGTTGGTTCATTTATTCTCGTCTGTTGCATCCAGTAATTATGATCCCAGTAGATTTATGTTCCAGTCACTTTGTCAGTTCCTCCTGTTTTCTTCTTGCTCGTTTTTTGTTCTGTTTCTTCCATTAAATTTTCCTTTTCATCATTTTTCCTCCAGGTTATTAAACACAAGTTAATTTTAATAGATGGGCACACATCCATTGATTTATACTAAAGTTCATGATGTTGCAGCTATATTTGTTTTGACTAAAAACAGGAAGTGTTTTTAAACTAAGTCTGACATTGATCCAGTTTTTATTGCTCAGAAAAGACGATTAAAAAATTAGCCTGTCATTTAGGAAAGCATACTCGCTAAACCTTTGAATTTTTGGGTAAACGCATCCCGTTTACTACAAAGAAAAAAAATTAAATAGTTCATGCTCAGTTTATTGTTGATCAGATGAGAAAATGCATCATTTTTAGTGATTCAATTAACATTTTTTGAGTGTGTGATTTTGGCCCACTCCTCAGCCCATGATGCTGCCACCGCCGTGCCTCAGCAGTATAACTGAACCTCATGAATCAGGTTTTTATTTAACATCCGTCAGAAATGTTTGATCAACTGGACCTTTTCTATTTCCCTTTGCAAGCATCAGGCCTTCCTGTAGCGTTTCAAATGGATCTTCCTCAGTGGCTCTCTGGGCTTTCTGGAGGTCAAGCCAAGGTCATCTTTGGAGAGGAAACGTTCAGAAAACCTGGAGAATTTAAAGTTTGTCTCCTTGGAAAGACAAAGTGCAGAACCGAGAACTGGACCAGAACTTTACCAGAATCTGCCACCACGAAGGAAGACTCACCGAACAGATTCATGTTTACATCAGTGGAAGATGACGTTTAAAAAAAGAAGCAGCTCCATGAATAATCTGAATATTTCAGCCGACACTCAGAGGACGTTTGGAGGTGGATCTGCTGTAACTTAATCTCTGCAGGTTTTCAGTCTGAGAGCAGCTTTGTTCTCTGGCAGCAGATCAGTGTCACACCGACCCAGTCAGACCAGTAAGAGCCAAACAGAACCACTGCACGGAACAGAACCTTAGCTTTCTGATCCAGACTCACGCAGATCCACCAGAACCAACCGGCCTGACCCGTGGTTCTTCTCCCGAGCGGCTGTAGGAGCCTCCGCAGGGATCCGTTAACCTTTCCCTGCGACCTCTGGTTTCATTAGACGTGTTGACGTGTGGCCTCCAGGTGGAGCGTGACCTCGACGGACGGCAGGGTTCAGAGCAGAGCTGCTTCCTGCCGCAGAGCTGCTTCCTGCCGCAGAGCTGGAGATGTTCCTGAAGCTCAGCTGCACCAGGTAGGTCAAACCGAGGCTTTACAATGGATCTGATCATCCTTCAAATCAGACAAACTGGCTCTGAAAAGATCAGATAAAGAAGTCCAGGATTAAAACCTGAAGTTTGTTGGATAGATAAAGTCCTGTGAGGTCTGATTAATGTTAAATATTCTTCATTATGAGGGTTTTTAAAGATAAAAAGATGTATTTTGCTGACATAAAAGCTAAATATAAAGTCACATTGAAGTTGGATTATTTCAGGAGTTAAGTTTATTCTCATGAAGGCTTTTCTAAATTAATATGATCAGATTCATCCTCCAGTGAAACCCAAATACGTTTGGAAATGTTTAAAATGCTTTAAATATTCGAAATTCCTGCATATCATTATTGTTTATATGTTTCCATAAGTTTTCTATTGCAAGAGAAAACTTATGGAAACATATAAACATTTTACTTTTCTAGAAATGAAACTGATAAGATTAATATTTATATAATATTTTGCTATTTATGTGCAAATAAAACCAAAATATTTCTAGAACAGAATCAAAATATACTTTATTGGTTTTCAAGGGTAAAATATTTCTCATCAAGCTAAACATCCAAAGCAAATATAGCAAATATAAATATAAAATGTATAAATATATATATGCATAATTTAAATGTGAACTGTATATAAAATAAACATAAAAACAGCTTCAGTAGGTTTTGTTTCCGTTCAGCTTGCAGTGCACCGAGTGGCCAGCAGAGGGCAGTGATGCTCCGCTTCAACAGCACCGAGCTGCAGTCTCTCCTGCTCTCCGTCCTGCAGCACTGCCTCAACAGCAGCGGCCTCCAGCCGCCCGGGAACCACACTACCCATGATGCTTTGCAGCAAGCGGCGGCCTCCGCCAGCGGCCGCAATCAGCCGGGGGAGCTGATGTTCATACTGCTGGTGGTCGGCCTCTTCAGCTTCTTCACCTTCGGCATCATGCTGAGCTACATCCGCTCCAGGAAGCTGGAGAGCTCCCAGGACCCGTACCACCAGTACATCGCCCACGACTGGAGTACCGTGGCGGGGCCGCCCAGGGCCGTGGCCGAGGCGCTGCAGCGGGGGGCCCAAGGCCCGGTGGTCCTCTGCAACCCTGCGGCCGTGCAGCCGCTGCCGGAGTAAACCGGCGACGATTCTCCAGGCCTGGAGGATCATCTGAGGTTTATCTGCTAACACAGCCACCCTGCCGCCACCGGACAGTAAAACAGGCCCTCAGCATGATGGTGCCACCACCATGTTTGACAATGTATGTCAAAAAGTGAGATACTCGGGAGATTTTAAATAAATAATCTTTAATGTCTCATAGCAACCAAACATTAGTGTTTGCTCTGTTTTTTTCCATCTGGTTTCTTCTCACCTCATTCGCTACGTTTACAAGTTTCACTCAAATTATGAGTGAACTTTTAAAAAGCTGCAGAGAAACATAAAAGGGAATTCTGCAAGTTTCCATCTACTGGTCTGGAGCGAATCAACCAGGCTATGAAAAGTGTCACTTATTCAGCTGTTGATGTTTCACATGGCTGAAATAAACAGGAAGTAGAGGAAAACCACGCTGAAGATCGGGACCGTTTCCTCTGGAGAGGTACAAACCCACCAGTGGTTCATCTGTGCCTTACCAGAGGCACAAAACATGCCTCCAGATTCTATCCATTTTATTTTAAAATGTGTAGTTTATGTTATTTAGCAACCTCTACTTCCTGTTTGCTTCAGCCAAGCGTGACGTCAACATGCGACGAAGTGACGAGTTGATTCACTCTAAACCAGTCGGTGGAAACGCGGCTAATTCACTTTTTGTTCTTTGTTGCAACTCTAAACTTTAAAAGTTTGCTCTAAGTTCCTCGGATGGAAACAAAGCTGCTGACAACCCAACGTTTGCTACCTGAGAGTCGCTCAGTCTCTCTGGCACCAGACGTACCAGAGAGACTACGTTTGTCTGTGCAACGCAGCATCAGAACGGATCAAATGAATGACCATCACATGAATGATCATCACATGAATGATCATCACATTAATGATCATCACATTAACTCAGTAAGAGTTTTCCATACAGGAACAATACAAACATCCTGGTTGATGGTAAAATGATTTTTTGTTTTCTCTCTTGTTTTAGTTTTTTAAAGGTGAATAAAGCGGCGGCTGGTTGGAGACTTTTGCCCGTTGCTATGCGGGTTTAGTATCCAAGCAGACTCTGCATCCAGGCCAGCAGCCCTCGCCTCTGAGCTGGAGTCCTGCCTGCAGAGTTAGCTCTCTTCTTCTCCCTCCTTCCGCCGTTCCTCTCTTCCTGCCGGACCTGCAGAAGCTCCGCCCTCTGTTGCTCGGCAAGCCTTTGGGCCCGCGCCACCTCCCGGTCAGGCTGAAGTGGACCATCTGCATGCCCAGCATGGGGACCATCAGGTTGTAGTCGTCCACCATCTTGTTGAGCTTCGCCAGCTCCTCCTCCACGTCGCCACAGAGCCGCTCCCAGTGGCGCTGCTCGGCCGGGGTCACGGGGTCGCCGAGCCGCGCCCGGCCCTCCAGCAGTCGGCTCCGGACCCGGGCGGCGCCCTCGCGGATGTCGCGCTGCGTCACCACCCAGGGCGGCTGGTAGCCGTTGTCGATGAGGATGCGGTTGAGGTTGTGGGTCATGGGTCAGCGTAGGGTTGTGCTGGAACTTGTTGAGCGGCTTCCGGCGCCGCTCAGGTTCCGGAAGTCTCCGCGGGCCATGGACTCCTGGATCAGGTCCTCCACCAGCCGCTCCACCGCCTGCGTGATCTTGATCTTGCGGCTGCGCTGACGGGCGTCCCGCTCCGCCAGCGCCCCGTCCGCCGCCGCCGCGCGCTCGTGCTCCCTCTGGCGGTAGGTGAGGACCTGCTCGGCGGCCCGGTCCACACGGACCTGCCGGTACTGCCGCTCCCGCTGGCTGGGGGTTCCCGAGCCCACGCCCTCGTAGCTCAGGTAGTGTCGGTGCTGCAGAGCGGCTCCTCGGGTTTTGTCCTTGTCGTCGTCCTCCGTTGCTCCGTCCGGCCGTCGGGTCTTACTCTGATGGGCCAGGACGGCCCGGTACGCCTCCTCGATCCGAGCGAACAGCCCGGCGTCGGCGGTGGGCTCGCCGCTGTCCGGGTGGTAGAGCTTGGCGAGGCGCAGGTAGGCGGCCCTCACCTCCGCGGGGCTGCTGCGGCCCTCGGCGGGCAGCTGCAGCACCTTGTAGCTCTCCTGGAGGCTGCGGCTGATCCGACCGTCCGAGCCGAACCGCCTGGACCGCCGGGAGGACAGGAGCAGGAGGCGGCCATGATGGAAACGCCTTCGCCACGGCAACCGCAGGAGGCTCATCTCTGGGACCGTCCTAAATGAAAACATTCAGAATCAGGAAAATGAATCTGCATCCAAACATTTCTGATATTCCAAGTGGGCGGAGCCAAGAGGCGCTGAGGGGCGTGGCCAAGCAGGGGGGGGTGGAGGGGGATTTGCTCAAAATGAGGGAAAACGTTGTTGCCAATTGAACTTTTTGCTACATTTAGCAACTTTTCAGGCCCTTTATCGACTTTTTTTTTTTCAAAAAAGCGTCTGGAAACAAATTTAGAGACTTTTACTTTATAAGGCAACAAACGACAAAGTGATGTTTTAAAAAAAAGCAACTATAAAAAACATAGCAGCTTCTTCCAAAAACAACTAGCAACAGATATAGCAACTCTTTTGAAAACAGCAACTAACAATAAATTGACTTCTTTCAAAAAAAGCGATTAGCAATAAACCATCTTTTACAGCAACTAGTGAAAATGCAGCAACGTTTTTCTCTGTGATTAGAGACTTTTGAGACGTGAAGCACCAGCCGCCCTGCAGAAACCGTCCTGACTGAGTCTGCTGCCTTCAGCTCTTCCTCAGCTGCTGTCAGTCTCTCGCAGTCGGCCAAACCTGTTCCCCTCCGTGTCCACACTGCATATAAATCACAGATGTGCAGAGAGGAGAAACGCTGGCGGTCAATGCTGGACGCGCTCACTATTCCACCTCCTGACTCGCCAGCAGGGGCGTGTGTCTGAGGGCTTTGTACCTGAACTTGGGCCGAGTGACATCACCAATCTGAACCACCTGGTTAATGGGACTAATGCTACTGCAGCAGCCACTGTTTGACCCACAGAGGGCAGCACTGAGACGGTTTCAGGCTAAATATTGCTAAATGAAATACATTTACACAAAAATATCACACTTTGCACATCCATATAAAGATGGCAGCCCTAAGAACCAATTTAAAAAGCTTATTGGCAAAAATAATAACTTGATATGGGTTTTATTTACTCTTTGATCTGGGCCTGTGAATGATCATTTATCTCCAGGGTGGAAGGAGTGACAGCATGCAGCTGCAGTAATGGATTTCAAAAGTCTCACTTGCATCATCTTCAGAACCAGACCGGTCCAGAGTGCAAGTCAAGGGTCAGGAAAAGGGCAGCAAACATCTCTGCAGACCCCACATATCCTGGACATGAACTGTTTAGACTTATTGATGTTTTCAGAAACAGTCAAAGTTAAATTATTGTTTGCAAACCTGCAGGACCTGAGCTGAGAAACAACCAGGTTTAACAATCTGCCAAGAATGAAGGCAGGAGCTTCTTGACCAGCCAGATATTCTGGCTTTTTATGGATATACTTCAGCCTAATTTGATTTATGTGATTTAAAAAAGACAATGTCAATAAATCCTAGTTTTCCCCAAAAGTGTTTTTAAAGATCCTTACAGTTCTGCTTTCTACTAATGCAACAGCAGCTCAGATAAACCATAAAAAGCCCAGAGTCATCTGACATTGATGCAAAGGACTAATGTGTAATGAACCCGTAAGTCAAACTGTTTCTGATTTATTACCACAGTGGATTTAACTGCATCTCTAGAATAATAAAGAGTGTACTGGCCCTTTAACACCAGCCTGATTTCACCTGTTCAGCGCCAACTGTCTCCTGAGGCTCCGGATATTCAGTGTTTGGTTAAAAGAGTCAAACTAGTGGCGGATTTACGGGGAAACACCGAGAAAAGTGAGAGAAGCTGCGGTCAGCCCGGCCAGAGCCGCGGTCAGCCCGGCCAGAGCCGCGGTCAGCCCGGCCAGAGCCGCCGTCAGCCCGGCCAGAGCCGCCGTCAGCCCGGCCAGAGCCGCCGTCAGCCCGGCCAGAGCCGCGGTCAGCCCGGCCAGAGCCGCCGTCAGCCCGGCCAGAGCCGCCGTCAGCCCGGCCAGCGGCCGTCAGCCCGGCCAGAAGCCGCGTCCCGCCTGGGCTTCAGCTCACCTGAGAGTCCGCTGTGTTGTTATGCAGCTTCTTCCTCTTCCTGCGTCTCTCCGCCGCTGAGACTCCCACCGCCCCCTGGCGTCAGCTCGAGGAATTGCGTTTGTGCTTGCATACACCAACAATAGCAATTAATAACTAACAGTTTCTAGTCTAATTTGGTAATAAATAATTATGAGAAATTAGCTTTCTGATGTAACTTCTTTAACTTCATACTGTTCTTTATTTTTAATAGTATTTTTCCATTTGTCTAGTTTTAGGTGTGAAACTCGATATTTTGTAAAAACTTGTTTGAATAAACAACACATGCTTTTGCCCACCACTACCACCTTAATAAAAAATAGAAAATTATTTCTTGGAACTATTTATTCTTTGATTTTATTACTTTGACATTTTTTTGCATTTGGTTTTGATTTATGTTAAATTTAAGGATTATAAATAATTTCTAGGTCATAACTATATATTAGATATTTAGTTGGTGAATTAAATATTTAGTTTGGATATTCATCAGTGTTGTAATAACATGGTGAAAATATAACTTTCAAAATTGAACACATATTTTTATAAATTTATTTTCATTTAAACAGAAATCTGCTGCAAAAACACATAATCCCAGGTATAAAAACATTTATTTATCTGCAGTGGATTGTAGGATAAGAACATGATACAAAGATATTATTTAATTTGATAATATGAGTTGTTTCCATCCTGCAGCTGGACTTCCTGGTTTCTGAGGTCATCTCTCCATCTTCTGCTCCTGTTCAGGTTCCTGCAACACAAAAATCCCATTTCTGTAGAACCTTTTTATTCTGAATGTTTAAATGCTGAAATTATGTTGTGAATGAAACATTTCAGCACTCACCTTAAAAACATGCTGCCTGTTATCCTTCACTATTAAACAGATCAGAAACAAAAATCTGTGAAATTTTTACAAGGTCTTAAAATTTGTTTGTTCTGCCTAAAAAACCCAGCAAATATCAAGCAGACAGAAACAGTTAAACATTTGCTCTCATCAGTCCAAAGGACCAGACGTTCTGCTTCCC